TTACGGAAATCAATGATTTTCATAAACAAACAAGTTATGAAGGTTTTACAGTATAGTCCAGGAGGCAGTGAAATTTTTTAGCACTTATTTTCTCAGTTGGTGTATATTAAATAGTTGTTCTTTTGGTGATACAAAACAAGAATATTTGAGTTTCGCAAAAATTTTCCGATGGGTTCACAAGATCAATGAAAAATACAAGTAGGTACACTTATTTTCCCAGTCATAAATATTTCACATTCACTACAATAGAACATAATAGCTATTTATGTACCAAGGGGATTATGTAGATTATAATGCCCGAAGGCGAAACTAGCCCGAGGGCCTCTGGCCCGCGGGATATGTTTCGCCTGAAGGGCATTATAATCTTAAAATCCCCGTGGTGCATACAATGCTTTATTTTCTACTCAACACAATGTTTTTTCATCAATTTATTATTAACAAAATCAGTTAAACTTGTGTGACAGAATATTGTTTTGCATTTTGACATGTACCTGTACCTGTGACCTGTACCTAGAAACGAAATAAATTAATATATCTATAAACATTTCATAAGGCAAGGCAACGGTGGTGGTCGTGTGGGTTAACGCGCTGGACTACATGGGAAACGTTGAAGGTAGACCAGGTTCGAATCCTGGCTAGACCGAAAATTATTTTCGGTCAGACATTTAGTAGCTGCCTAGGGTGCAAATTTATTAAAACAACAACAACAAAAACATCTCAGGGTATTATAAGCGGGCGTTATAGATCATAACGCCCGCTTTTGCGGGCGTTATGGATCAGGTTGTTATAGGTATGTTACCGTATTTCGTTGCCTAGATATTATGGATCTATAATAGTTAAGTAGAAAATAAAGTATATGAAAATAGCAATTTTGCTTATCTCAGATAGTGGAAAGTAAATCTGGCTGCAATTTTTCGGATCTTCAATTTTTCACTTGCCAGACTTATTATCCATACTCACAGATTAGCCGGACTATTTTTTCACGTAACTTCAGTAAACTTCTCATTAGTAGACCTATTTTTATCACTGGAAAAAAAAAAGGTCCGTGCAGTCGTAAGCTCTAACGGATTTTGCGCCTCAACACATCGGAAAACCCCCCCTAAAAATATATGAATTTTGCTTAGAATTACTAACCCTACAATTCTATCCATGTTGTCTGACTCGGAAAATAAGTGCCGAAAATCGTCACTGCCTCCTAGACTAGTACCTATTACTCAAAATCGAGAATCTCCTTCTAACGGCTAAACGGTTGAAGATATCAAATTGCGGTATGCACCAATCAAGATTTTATCAAATTTGAGCCTCGAAGTGGCGGGTAAATTATTTTGTATCTGGAACACCCTATACATCTAGGTATTATGTATGGGTAAGTACAAGACATACAAAAAAATACATATTTTTTTTTCTTCAAATCATGCAGAAGAAGAAAAACAGTTTTTTATCTTTCAAATTTCTCATTCACGAGACTACGAGACCACGCAATTTTTTCAGCAGACTTCCGTTTTATTTGAAAAAGTACATTTTTACGAAACATTTCTAAAAATTCCAACAGAAATGACACAATAAAATTTTCGCAACATAATAATTTATAAATTGCGAAAGCATCTATTGTCTGTCGTTTTTAATCTGACACTTTCCGTATGAGGAGCGAGGAGGTGAAGCATATGGCAAAAACAGGTGTGACGTCAGGTGACCATTGGCGTTCTAATGTAGGGTGCCACCAGCTCACATTTCTTTGGAGTATCAGATTAAAATCGATGGACTTTACACACACAAAATAAAGGAATTCTTGATGATTTTTGACCACATCCATACAATTCCAATTTTTTCCATCATAATAATCAAGCAGTTTTTTCCAATATTTATCCCCTACCCAATGTATTTTTATCCTGTACCTACCTACTATAGGTATTTATTATCTAAGCTTTTTTTTATATTATCTTTTTGTAAGTACGCACTTATTTTATTTACTGGATAAAAACCTTCGAAAAATTACTGATTTGATTTTAAGTTTCTTTTTAAGAGGCTAGATGAAGGATACCAAAGATCAGGTACTGCTCAAAATTTAATGTTTTTTATATCTTTCCTAGTTTTGGGATAGGTGTTGAGTAGTTGAGGAAAGTTCGGGAAATTCCAAAATGACTAATGTGTCTGCATTTTTACTTAAATTAGATAAAATTGAATTTCGATGAAAATTAGCCTCAGGGCCTGGTAGGTTTAAGACAATTTCGTGATTGACAAAAATAGTTCCTTTCGATACAGAATAAATAACTCAAGTTTCACTCAACTTATACAAGTATAGGAGATTTGGACCACCGCGCGCTTAGTAACTCACCCTGTATATTAACAAATTTTGTTGGTTTCACAATATAAATATTTTCATGTACTCCGATGTATTCCCTTGTTGTCATAATGTATTCATATGTATTTCTTTGTATTCCTTTCAATTCTTATGGATTCCTTTGTATTCCTATCTATTCCTTTGTACTCCATGTATTCAGTGTAGGTATGTACAAATTTGGATGGCGGTTTACCCCTCAATTTTGCTTAATTTAGATTTTGCAAGTTGATTTCCATTAATTTCCCATTTTGTTATTTTTCACTAGAAAAGTTTGATATTTTCATATGCTGAGCTCCAAAATTTTCTTTTCTTCTCCTGAAAGTTTCACAATTTTCCGTTTAGAAGTTTTTCAGAAAAAAAAAACTAAAATGTAAGATGGTGCATTTTTGCTTAATTTAGATTTTGCAAGTTGATATTCATTAATTTCCAATTTTGTTATTTTTCACTGGAAAAGTTTGAAATTTCAGTATGATGAGCTCCTAGCCTGCCTCTTCTTCTCTCGAAAGTTTCATAATTTTTCCTTCATAGACCGTCAGAATGAAACATTTTGCTGACCAATTTTCTCTTTTCCGGGATTTCAACCACTGAAAATTATGTCAGTGCTGAGCTCAAAAAATTAAAATTTAGCAACCGGACGTCTGCTAGGCATATGGAAAATTTACTTTTTTTTTGCGACGGTCGAAAAATGTACCTTAACAGCTGACCGGCTTATGGTAATTTTTATCGTAAGCCTACCGGTAGGTCCTTTGTTGTCCAACGATCATACGCCTACCAGTAGGTCCTTTTTCATCCACCATTTATGCGCCTACTGGTAAGTCCTTTTTGGTCAATTGATCAAGCGCCTACTGGAAGCTGGAATGACCACAACAGAAAGAAGAAGGTAGACGACAACAAAAATAACAAGAAGTACAGGACCGGTTCCAGAAAATTCTACAAGAACAAAGAGGATCGTTCCAGAACATTCCAAAAGAAGTCAGTGGAAAAATGGGGATGGAAAAATTTGCGAAGAAATATATAAAACTGAGGAATAGGGTAGAGAAAACTATGTGATTTGTCAAAACGGGAGTATCAAAATCATTATTATAACGCCCCGTCACGGTTTCTACAGATTATTTAGGGGTTCACTGAAACTGAGACAAATGCTGACAAAGACATTACCTACCAAAAAAAATAAAATAAAAAGGATATGGAAATGGTACCTACGATTGGTACGTAACTGTCTAGAAAATGGGTAACGATCTGGTTGGAAAAAAGTTCCAGTTTTGTTCAAAGGGTGAAGAGATGTACTGGCTTCAATGGGATTTGTTGTGTTTGCGAGATGACTTTGATATTAGTGGATCAGTTGTGTTTGCGAGATGACTTTGATATTAGTGGATCATTTTTATTGTAAAGATGTTGAGGAATGTTGGAAGAGACGTGACCTTTTTTTTTGCAAAATTGGACTCAAGGACAAACGAAACAATATTTGCCTGGTTCTCTGAGGGGGAAAGAGACGGAAAATAAGTAGACACTCGATCCTTGGTTGATTTGGACTATTTTTCAATGTAGGCAGAAATAATTCTAATCCCGGATCATTAATCAAGAAGCGGTTACAGTTGCCGAGGCATGACACGGGGTAACTACCCATAGAACTTCATACTCATCACAGGAGAAGAATGGAAACAACTGATGAGGTTGCTAGAAATAAGAACGACTTCACTTCATCCACAGTCCGATGGAATAGTCGAGAGGCCCAATCGGACTACCAATCAATACCTCTTGATTTTTGAACTGATCATAGCATAGTTTTCAGCTTCCACCGGCTATGCAACATGCATGCTCATAACTGGAAGAGAAATGGAGCTTCCATAGTATTATAGATCCGTTATTTGACAGACCACTGGCCGATAAAGACGCAGCTGTAGTTCCAGTTTATGTGGCTGATTCCTACGACAGGCGCAAAGTGATTCACGATTTTGCCCGAAATAAACTAAGTCTAGACAGTGAGAGCCATTAAACACCTTCAACCTTCAACAAAGATGACGCTGGCCGGTTGTATATCAGCCACAGCGAAGAAAGGGACTAGGCTCGAAATTTTAAAGACCTTGAGAAGGACCATACCAAGATCGTCAAGAAGATCAGCGACTTGGTATACAGGACTCAACATTCGCGGAAAGTCACACCAAAGCTCGTTGAGATACTTTCATTTGGGACACCCTGCCTGTTTGATAATATTTCACTTGTTTACCAAGTACCTAACAATTTTTTTGGCTTTAAATATAGTATCCTTATGAGTTGATTCCGGAATCTCTTGAATTTGATTTGGCTTATTGATACGTTAATCGAGAGTTATACATTAGGAATTAGTGACATGTAGGTACTGGCATTCATGACAAATTTAAACTATTTTTTTCTTGGAGGCTTATGAGGTGACGATAACGAAGAGTCACAAATAGCAGTCAAATTTCATTATCTATACAAATAAAATAATAAATTGTTCTATAATGGTTGCGATTTTTTTATTTGTTTTCCTAATTGGAAACAAAATTACTTTTGATAATCCTCATAAATTTAAGAATAGAAATAGGTGCAAAGTGGCATGTATACCTGCCTGAAAAACTACTGGCAGGGTGACGAACATAGGTAAAGCTAAGTAAAACTTATAAATTTAACTTTTCAGGAGACTGGATTATCGTATGGCTCCATTTCTCAAGACAACTCGGATATCACCAGAATTTAAATGGTACATCCCGATGGAGAGACTTATCACTGGCGCATTTTAAGCTGAACAATTTGTGGAACTTCATTTGGCCATCCATTATTATATCCTATGGAATGTATATTTTAGTCGGAGGATTTTTACATGTAAGAATTATATTATTGTGTCATTTCTTGAAAAGTATTGATTGAGATTATTGAACTTTTACACTTGACCCTAGACTTTAGGTTATTGACTCGAACCTTGATCTTGATAATATTAATAATTTTATTATATTTAACTTATACTGATATGCTGCTGAACTATTTTACAGAGCTGTTTATATCTATTAGAACTAGATATTAATTCTTGTACTAAATAGGTACTCCAGGTAAAATTTGGTGTATATTTTCAGTGGTATTACTATGTTCGCCAAAGAGATAAGCCAGAAGAATGGAAATGTCAACCTCAAAAATGGCTATCACCCGAATTGGAAAAAAACGAAATTTTATGGGGCTCCTTTACATTGTTTCTGAATGCAACAGTTAGCTCTCTTCTAGCATGTTACATAAGTAACGGCGGGTATAGTACAGTTTATTATGATTTTGGTGAGAAAGGCTGGTTGTGGTTAATTTTATCGTTTCCACTTATTTTTATTTATCAGGTTAGTATATTAAATTTTAAAATAGAAATTAAACAAACCATAATAATATTTTTTCAAGGATTATATGACTTATTGGCTGCATCGAGTGTACCACATGCCCTTCTTATACAAACGATTCCATAAACTACATCATCAATACAAACAACCTACAGCCTTTTCTGTAACTGCAATACACCCTGTAGAATCTATACACATTCAGCTTGTTTTGTCAGCTCCATTATTTTTAGTTCCAATTCATTGGCGTAAGTATTTTTATTTTTATAATCAAGATTGCTTTATTTCAACGGATCCCACCGTAAAAAAACCCATCGCGATTCCTAATTACCCACCCTTTCTATTATAGATAGTTTTTTTGTAACATATAAATAAAAAATATCATTCAAAATAAACTATTGAAAGACTACCGCCTTCAGTTTTCTAATGTGCATTTATTCTTAGGAGACTTTTTCCTTCTATCTCTATATTCTACTTTAATTTTCAGTCTTCTGATTCACTTGCATTTATCTCTTTCTCCTCATGTTATCATGTTATTAGTCTTGAAAAAGAAAAGTCAGCCTCTGATAATCTCATGAATCGAACAATGAAATGGTTTCAGCTTGAACCTCTTCGCATCCTTCAACCTTTGATTATAGATGTATACCCACTTGCATCTTGTTTTAGAGTGATTCCTCATATTTCGCAAATTATCAAACTTGGGTTTGAATTGGTTGCGCTTCTTCTGGAAGGGTTCTTGATATGTGCTAAAGTATTCCCAGGTCAGCATCGAGATTGAAGAGCGAAATTTTGAAAAAAATGTTCCATTTGAAAGAGTTCTATCCCCGTCAGCTATTAAATGCCGAAAAAAGAAATATTTTTGGAATCTTTTTATTTTCTATTGATCAAAAACGAATGTTCGTGTTTTTTCATTTGAAGAAAAATGGGTCATATACAGTGGTTGGAACCAGAAGAATTGTGTTGCAGACCCAAGCAGCTCAGCGGTTGTGTTTTCGCTTTGCATGCAGTGGGTCTCGGGTTCGAATCCCGGCTAGGTGCATGGATGTTTGTTTGTTTGATTTGATTTGTATGTGATGTTCGAGGGCTTTGTCGACAAACCACAGTGGTGGTTTCTGACTAGAAAGCAAAAAAAGAAGAGGTCCACTTTGGTGAAAGAAGTATGAATCTGGCATTGTTTCTTTTACATTCTTAGATAACCTTTATCAATATTAGGTCGTCTATGGAGGGTATCAACTCTGAATACTTCGGTATTGTGTCGTTTAAGAGTTTCATGATATAAAACCACAAACGAATCGTAATTTTAAGTCTGAGCATAAGTTTTTATGGTAGAACATACATCATAAAACGAAAAATAATTCAAACATTTTTTGTTTAAAAATGAAAAGACAGTTATCTAATTGTGGAACATAAATGTTTCACATCCAGACACTGCATGTTCCATAATAAGACAAAAGTTTTAACGAACTTCTAAGGCTGGAAAATTTACTTCAAACTTCAAATATGATTGTTGCCGTTTGGTGTCCCTACGTGTGATGATTTTGGTAACACCATCTTAATGTTTTCCAAGCAACTAACTATCTGTGGACCATAATGATGCGTTGTCGGCTTGCGGTTGCTTTACTTTTTTTTATGATTGTCGTTCTTTCAGAACCACTTTATATTAGATGTCAAAGTCTAGTGATGTTCTCATATGATCTGTTGGTTTACTTGAGCTTTATAGATTGAAGGATGCGTGAGTGGCCATTCAGACCACCAGGTTTAAATCTTTTTGTCTGGAGTAGCATATAGGTATCCATTCTTGCTTCTTTCTTTCAAATATAGGTAAGAGGAGGCATGTTCAGAAGTGCCCCTAAGCCTGCGGTGGGGCAGGTTGACATAACCCCTGTTATTCTAGACAAAAGAGTCTGTACTTTACGTGGACTGTTCTGTGGAGTAATTTGCTCAGTTTTTAGTCTTATCCCCCACGTTTTTTCCCACGAGTCTGCGGCATGTTCAAATGCCAGTCGTAGCTCGTGATATTGTTTTCTTCAGATGGCTGTTCCACTTAGACAGTAAGTTTGCGGTCTATGGTGACCCCTAAATACTTAACTTTATCCGAGAGAAATAATTGAGTGCGTTTAGAGTGGGGCTCGCAGATCTAGCTTCTTTTTTTTTTCGTAAACGGAACTAAGGTTGTTTTGCTGAGATTTATGGAAAGTCCTTCCTCGCTCCAGTTTTTGATTATATTCAAGGTAGTTTGCTCTCGGCCTTCATGCTCACCTCTGATCTTTATCTCGAGTCCCTGCTGAAAAGGGAGTGGTACCATATTCAAAATCTAACAAAAGCATAAAAAATTCAATTTTGTTGAGTTTATGTGTCTAACACTTTGACCCTCTACCTATTTTAAAACTTGTTCAACCTTACTTATGCTGAGTTTCTGATATTTTCAACTTTTGATTCCTTGTATTACCTATTCAAAACCAATTTAAATAGTTATTTAACAACATTCTATCAAGTTCATGTTAGGTAACCTATCGAAAATCTCGATAAAGCGGATGAAAACCTTGCTTTTATTGAGTTTTTTGATATTTGCAACACTTTTCCATACGGATTCCAAAACTTATTTGCGAACCACGCCGTTAAGTCCCTGTTGAACGAATACATTTCAAATCTCAAGAAGAAGGATAGAAACGCTACTTTTTTTGAGTTTTTTCATGTTTCCAACCCTCAATTCTCTACCGATTTTGGAAACAATTGGAGATATTATTCTAGAACACGCTGTTAAGTAAGTGCCTGTTGAGAAAGATAGTGGTGGTACCTAATCCAAAATCTCGGGAAGCGCCTTAAGAGTCCTTTTTATGGAGAAATATGTTTTTAATTTAGATTATAAACCATTTAATTCTATTGGTTATACCTATCATATTTTATAATAATAATAATAATAATAATGATATACAAACTTTAAACCATGCTTCCAGTATAAAAGGTAATTTAAAAAAGTAAACATTTTGTTGCGAATGGCATGCGTCCCTAATTCATGGCTTGAAATGGAGGCTTACTTTACGGCATGAAGATGGCAAAGCGAGGAGTTTTTCTTCCCGGGATGACAACAGAGTCCTTTTAAACAAATCTCTGAAGTTCTCTCAAATTTTTAGGGCAGCCCAAGAGTTAAAGCCTCAAAATACATAAAATAAAGATCTCCATGAGATCAATTTAAGAGCTAGGAAGAGAGCAGCCCCTTAATTCATAAAAAAAGTTCATCGTGATTCGAATAATTAGTGGAACCCGAGTCAGATAATTTGTGATTTAGTTTTGCGACTAGTAATGCATGCTTGATTGTAGCTGAATGAAGTGTTGCATAGTTTCGTCGTGATTTTTCTGTTATTGTCTTGAATAAAGGAATAATTTGTTTCTCACTTACCTGCGCACTTATTTTCAATTATTATCTGATGATGCCGTTCTCAAATCAAAACTTGAAACTTCATGCTTTTCTTAGTTGTCACAATAACAAAGAATTTTTCACGGTGGGCTCTGAACTAATAATATAGGTACCTACCTTAACTTTTATTTCTATTCTAGTTCCATTTTATGTAGCAACATTTTACGCTTACTACCACGGAATAATCGATCACTCAGGAATCAATTTCAAATCTTTTTGGTGGCAACCCTGGCAACCTGATGCCATTTTTCATGACAATCATCATCAGTATTTCCATGTTAATTTTGCTTTTAATATTTATTACTGGGATAAAGTAAGTTAACATTTTTTTTTTTAAATTTAATTACATATTTACTACTTATTTTCTTTATTTAGCTACACGGTACCTATAGAAGAAAAGATAGAGTATATCATGAAGGTATTTTTTACGGAACTGGAAAGTCAATAGAGGCAGCTACTACTGAGGAGTTGAAGACAGATGTAGAAGAAAGAACTTTGGAAAATCCGTTGGCTTATAGAGAAGAAATGATGCCGTTCAAGTTCTCTGAAAAAGAGGTTGAAAGCCTGAAAAAGGCGACTTAATATTTTAAATTATTGTATTATAAAACCTAATATACTTAGCCCTTGTCCATTTCGCTTTTATTTATTATAATATTTATAAACCCAATTAACATAAATGCCAACATTAGTGTATAAGGTGAAATATTTTTTATCACATAAAGCATCTTTGGGATTTTTAGGACTTATGCTCACTATGCCTTCCAATGTCCATTTTCCTGTATCTTTATTTTGAACTGCTAAACCACTTCCACTGTCTCCATTACAAATAATGGTGTCTATAAATTGGAGAAATTATCGATTTCGATTGGAAGACAAAGTCCTCTAACTGATTTCAACCAATCGAAATCTATTATTCAATTGTACTTACCTTCAATCCCTTTACCACAAAATGACGCTATTGTAACATATTTCTTGAATTCGTATCTCTGATTTTGTATGCAATCTTCAGTTTTGAGTATTTCTACATTGGTCCTACGTAACCGGGTTGAAATTGTGCCATTTTCGGTTATTCCCATTCCTGCGACCTGTTTTAAGAAGAACTAGGAACTTGTGTTTATCGTTTTTATAGGTACTTATAGTTATTGAAAATGTGAATACCTATACATATAGGCTCCTAACAGAGAGAAAGGTTATCGAAATCAGCCAAGAAATGAAGATTTTTTAACGGTGTTTGAAAGGTAATGAAGTGCTAAACGTGGACACCGTATTATAATACCTACAATATGGAATAAATAAATAAACTGAAATGTACAAACTTTACAAACTTGATATTCTACTTAGCTGGTCAAATAATTATTGAAACACGATTAAATTTTTTTTTAACTTCTACTTAGTTCTAATTCTCAGCCTACCTGCCCTTCAAGTGTCCTAGTCTCTAACTCCCGAATAAAATTCCGGAGTGTCCAATTCATACAAATGGGAAGAATGAACTCGTTGAAAGAAAAACCAGACTTAAGTTTTACTATAGCAATATCCGAACCATAATTCCCTAGTGAATCTTGATATAAAGGATAAATAAATGTACTTTCAACATCAGACATTTGACTGTTAAGCTCATTTTTATAAAAATCACTGAAGGATTTTCCCGATATTGCTTTTATGAGGTTTTCTGGCATTTTCCATACGCAATGACCAGCTGCAAAAAAATAAAATAGTGCTATTCTATATTTTCGTAAGTGAACCATACCTGTAAGCAATAAATTGCTAGATATGATAGTAGAGCCGCAGAAGAAGGTCCAATTAGAATTTATCGAAGTGAAAAGCGCACAATACCAAGGCCAGAAGGCTGGACTAATTTCCAGGCCATTTATTATTAAGGGAGAAATTTTGACTTCCGGTATTGTACCGCATTCTACAACAAAACACAATGTAATTGAAAATAAAATTGGAGGAGTTTACAAACCAACTTCACATTCCATAAGATCTTTGTTCCAATTTCCATTATCTTGACAGGTTAATATTTGATAGTCGCTTCCCTTTATCGAATAAAAAAGCGACTTACACCTCACTTCCGCCTTGGTTTCTGGTGGATAAAATCCACCACAAGAGATTAAGTAGGATTCATTTTTATCGTTAATATAGCAACTGACAATGTGATTTGCCAGAAATATATTAGGGCAAGTTATGCCACTTGAATCTATAGAAGAGAAGTAAGTACATGTTATTTAATTTAGTAAGTGAATGAATAATCAATTGTTGAATTCAGCAAAAAATAACATAGGACTTCTAAGACTTTCAGCGATCATGCGGGACGCAATTTACCTCTAAATCCTGGAAAAGGACCCTGAAAAGGCCGGTTATAACGGTGACATTCACTTTGGTCTGGCATGCTCATGCTCAGACTAAGCATGCTAAAATATACAGGGTGTTGCATTCAAAGAAACGAAGTTGATGCAGCCAACGCTATTTGTGATCTCTGTGATTCGTTACTTAATCAATAACTGTATTTTGATCATTAGATTTATGCATGTTTTTTTTTTGTTGGTAAGAAAAATCGAGTTCTTTGTACCAGCATCAGCCTCTTGCGTCACTTTCCTGCAATGATCCCGTAATATCACGAGCGAATGAACATTAGACCTTGCATGGATTTATTAAACTCACAGGTACTCTTTCCCCATCTATAATTGCTAGATAATTTGACACTTACCAATCAACTTCTTACAAACTAAACTGGATTCATCAGAGCCATCGTTACAATCTCGAACTCCATCACAAAGTTTGAAAAAATCGATACAAATATTGTCACATTTGTAGAAGCCTTTCTCGCAAGTGATAAGCGAACAAATTCCTGGGTATTCATCCATATTGTTATCACAATTACTTATACCATCACAAATAAATTCGTGAGGTATAAAAAGTGATCCACATTTGAATACTTTGGAGCTTAAAGAAAAAATTTGTCTGGAAGTTTGAAAAAATTACAAGATACTTACCGCAAATTTGTACAGAATATTTCAAATGAAAGATTTTTTGTGCAATTATTATCATTGCACATATTTAAAAGGTTATTTCTAGATATGTTCTTACATGTATCATGATTCAAAGCTGAAATAACAATAATTTTATCTAATTCACGGAAGAATTAAGCAACATTACCAGTAACCACTATGTTATATCCGATTACACCTAATAATATTTTGATAAGCATGTTAATTCACTAAACTAGAGGTTGTGTTCATTAACACACACGGTTAAAGGTGTTAACTTTAGCAGAGCATGCTCTTGCATAAATTAAATTTTATTTTTAAAAGATAGCTTTACAAATGAATATTCACACTAGATGCAATTATTATTTGATACACATAGTAAGTTTTCGCTTCAATTAATACTTCAAGATGAGAATGATTTGTGTACAAGCTAAATGTACCTCTCTGTATCATAAAAACGAAAATTTTGAAATGAAGTTAAACCCTTTAAGTTAGTAAACGTGGAACTTAAAGCATGAATAACTTTTTTTTTGTAAATTTGAGAATTACTCTTCTTTTATCTTCTTCTACCACTGAAAGCTCAGAAGCCAGCGACACATTTTTGATGTCTGATGCTAGGTGCCTACTCGGTACTGCAAATTGTGGATTTTATGTCAAATTCAAATACATATTTACGACACTATGAATAGAAAAAATTTTCGCGAATCATATTTACAAGTAGATATTGATGAAAGACCTACGGTGACGGCCAAGGGCGTCCATAGAACATTTTTCAGCAAAAACCTGACTTATTTTTATTTTTTAAATGAGACCATCCATTGCCATAGCCCGGCTTGTTCCAAGAAAATTTTCAAGTGTGCATATTCGTTCGAGATTGTGCACATGCCTAAAAATGACGTAAGTGACGTCATTAATAGCGCCATTTCTTTGGTTTTACAGAAACAGTGATGATAATGGAAGTAACCCGCCAGTATGTGGCTCATTTGGCTCTCTTTTCCCGACCACAGGAGTTCGAAATGTTTTGAAAATCTGTTTAAAAATGACGTCATTACTTTCTCATATTTTCGAATGATCTATTTTTTATTTTTCAAAAATGTAAGAGTGTTCATGATACCATAACCTCCTGCACAAGATACAACACACGTATAAACATAAAAAACAGTCAACTTTCCTAAACTATTGCGCATGCGTTTGTTTTTGAATCGATGCGAAATCTTGTCTCAAAATATTTTCAAACAGTTTTGTTATGACGCCATTAGTTCAACGCGAAATAGGTTCAACGTTCAACCAATTGAGCTTTTCAATTTAAAAGCTTCTCTCTCTGGCGTCAAACTGTCAGACGCCAAAAGAGTATGAAAACAATGGTTGACAGCCGCTGACAGTGGTTTGTTGACAAGACTTTTGTACATGTGGAAACTGGAAACTATTATTTCCTCGGTTTTTTCAAAGTTTTTTCCTAACAATGGTGATTGTGTAGTGTGCCTTTTTGTAAAAATAATTCCTATTTACCGGCGGACGTGTCTTTCCATAAGTTTCCATCAAATCCTACATTTGTCAAATTTTGGATACATAAAATCAGGAAGAATACTCGCAAAAAAAAGGGAATCCACGGCCCATCAAGTATACAAAGTAATCCACGTTCAAGTTTAGTTTGCGGGAGCTGTTTGCTTCCAAAATAATTCACCGCTTTCTCCATAGCGAAGTTCTGCAAATGAAGTAGTAACTTTTCCCACAATTTCTTTTAAAACACCCAATACACACTGGCATTGACAAGCAAGCAAATGTTGGCGGGAAAATGATTGTTTTCATACTTTATTGTCCATCTCTTTTAATTGAAAACGTCAATTTAAGCGGGGAAAAAAAAACTTTGAGCTCAGCTTTCAAAATAAATAACAGATGTCAGTAACCACCAAGGATAATACACACTACTAAGGATTGCTTATCGGTCTCGTCTTTGGTAATCGGCGTCATATTGGTGTATCACCATTACCGACATCATTAACTAAGTCATCAGCGACGTCAGCTGTTTGCGCCAGCGGTTGTTGTAGTTGAGAGGCGGAATCATAACCTGTGGTGCAAACAGCTTACGTCAAAGCGAGAAACGACATGTTGCCTACGTCACAATTGGTGATTTGGCGTGGTGGGAGGCTTCAGATTTGTTCTACACTGGCCTTATGAGGATAGGCTATCCTGTAGTAGTAGTATGAGTAGTTGAGTAACCACAACCAACGCCCAAGGCGAGGTGGCCAAAAGTTTGCTTAAGGAAAATTATTTTGTTTTGGCTGGATTGTGAAAGAAAATTGTGCTTATATTTTATGAAGATTATGCATATTGAGATCAAATTGTGCATAATATGCACAATTATGCACCTTGGAACATCCCTTGCCATAGCAACGCAAAGATTAACATTTGACTGACTCATTGCATTTGACATATACCTAGTTGGTGGGTCGTTCGATAATATATCAAAATATTTGAGAAAATTGAGATTTTTCTCGAACAAAACGCCTGAAGAAAAAAATATCGTGTTCTATTCCGAAGGTAAGCACTTAGTATCACTTTTGCTATTCTGTTTTTTTATTCTTCTGGTAGCAATGGTAGCATCATGAAACAATAATAATCGCCAGGCCTAGGGGGGGGGGGCAAGTGCCCCATTTGCCCCCCCTTATGGACGCCCCTGGTGACGGCGAAAAATATTCTGATTATATCAAAGCTGAGAATAAGTGAAGTATCTATACAAATCTATATAAATTATAGCTCTAATAAATGTCTATTGTTAATAATTATCAATTTCAATTTTGGGTATTTTTATTTATCTGAAATATGCATATCAAATGCAGAACGGTCAAAGTATAAAAAGAGAACGATTGGCTTTCTAAGCTACACCATCTTTCTAGAGGAAATCTGGGATTCGGTAACGCATAGAGAGATTTTCTTTATCTCTATTGGCGTTCCCTCTATATCGATTCCGAAAAGAGCGAAGAAGATAGCAAGTGCCATAGCGATGGGGATAACGATCTCTATCCGTTACCGAGACCCAACTTTCTGGAGACTGCCGAGAAAATCGAAGCGCCATCTTTTAGGGTTAAACTATTTGATATATTCTTGTTGTTTTCGTGGTCGTTTTCGCCCTAAGCTTACTTCGGCAAAAATAGATAATGTATAGAATATTGAGAAGGCGTTATAAGAGAAGATGTAGGATTGCGAACTCCTTTGCAGAGAGCTGGCTGGATATGCTTCGAAACAGCAGGTCATTCTAAATACACCTGAGCAGCTTGAGAGAGACAATGCTTGAATTAGCACCGAGAACAAGGCTCTGAATGATGCAAAATGAAGTTCTACTGAAGAGATATCTAGTACTAGAGGAAGAAGGCATACTTACACGTCTCTCTGGAGTCTACTTTCAAGATAAAAATCAGCAAGAAAACCCTCCGGATCCATGTCTGTCCACTCCGCCCCTCTCAGACCGGGACAAAAAAATCTGAGCCATCCAAAGCCATGATATGCCAGCCGTGACAATTCATAGTACGCTCTGGATGACGTTTAAAAAAGAGAGGGATCATCTACCAAGCCAAAGTGTTGGAAAGAAACCCGAGAATCCAAATTTGTCTACTTTTCACCTACCAACCTGACCGAGAAGGCAGGCAATTTATGGGATGATCCGCCAAAATGCTGTGTCATGTCATGCCAACTGATCGAAGAGGACTGAAGGATCACGGGGTCGTAGATGCCAAAGTCATTCAGCTGTCCGACAGAAAAAAGAATCAGTATATACCGCTCTACCTCATGAAGACCCAGAACTTCTCAAAGTCATGCTGCTGGATGTCAACGTTGAGACAAAGATTCGCTCTAGACAGACGCAGCTAAGTAGCGGACGCCAGGAGTTCAAGCACAACTAATCCCGCTGGGAGCCAGCGCCTTAACACTCGCTAACTGCCGAAAGGAATAAGGGAGGAAGGGAAAAGGAGGGATAGCCACCAGTGGACTCATCAAAACGATGATCGTACCGGCGACATCCACATAGAAAAGCCAATAAAAATTAGCCCCTGAAATGTGGAACGTTAGGTGATTTCGAGCTGGAAAACTTGACATTAAACAATGATAATTAATATGCAGATAATAGCAGGCAACGTACCGACGAAAGACGAAACAGGCCTAGTACCCAAGGGAGGAGTAGCAATTCTGATCAAAAAAGGACTAGAACTCTCCTCAGTAGGAATCAATGAAAAATGTGACATAGAGGAGGTATGTAACTGTTGAAGTTGAGACAGGGAAAATATGAGATAGTGACTTTGGCTTACTTACCTCACAAAGATCTACTCATGGGAGAAGACAGGGTCCACTACATGAAATAACTACCACCATCATCATCATCATTGGAGATCTCAGCAGAGAATCTCTAGCTTTAGAAATGCGAACATCAAGAATGCGAACGGAGTCTAACGACGTACACGGATGCAAGAAAAGCCAGCGTCATCGGACCTGATGAACAACCTCTACGAGGCTACTCCAGTATTGAAATTGAAAAGTCGCAGAAGATTTTCGAATGGAAATATCTGAAAATGGTTTTTGGAATCATAATCTAGTAGAACGTACCCTCGGAACAAGATTACAATAAGAAGTGGACTTAAAGACATGATAGTCATTCCAGTGATTCACAACATTGGGCAACTGGAACTAGCAATCGAGACATTGCAGGCCTGCATCTTTGAAATGCAACAAGAATGCTTTGCCATTAGACCAACAAGAAAATGATCAGCAGGTGAACTTCCCAGAAAAGTGTAGCCATATGCCATTAGCACTGAAAACAAAAGACTTCGTAAAAGCTAGCGAACTCAAAGATTGGATATTAGGAATAGAATTGTTCAAGTCAGCACAACGCAAGACTTGAGAACGCTCTCGCTGAAGTCAAGAATTTAAGATAAAATATGAAAGTGAAAGAGATCAACGTTGATGGCCATCTGGAATGGAACATGCAGAAGCAATTCAGAAGCGAGAGAAAAATTTTGCCACTTTTGAAGGGACGTAACGGGATAGCATACACGAATCAGGCCGTAGTTGAGAGATTAGACCTCATCCCATAGGGCCTGAAGAATGTGAAGGTTGTCAGAGAACTATCGTCCCAGCCTGCTCTTGTCTCTTTTGGCAAATGTATCAGAGAGAATAGTCAATTTCAGGATCGTACAGGAAACCAAAGCCTGGGAATTGATTCCAGAAGAACATTTTGAATTCAGAACAGAAAAGTCGATCAAGCTATACCAAAGTATTTTATTGGAAGAAGAAAACTGGAACCGTGTTGCTAGTATTGAACAAGCAGGTAAGCGACTTGCAAAATGGTTCAGAATTAACTGACAGTCTGAACCTCTGCTGTAAAGATTGGCAAACAGCGCTCAAGAATTAGAGAACTGGAAGCCTCAAGCCATAAAGGGCGGTGTTGGCTTGTACATCTATACTCGCGGTATACCGGACACACAAGAAATGATTGCATTAGACGCAAATGATTGCGCAATCCTTGCTCGAAGAATATTCCCAGAATGATTGATAGATAAACTCCAGGAAGAAACGAGTCTGATTTCGGAATGGACGAATGGTGCATCTACTGGAAGATTGAAGCCATCGAAAACCAAAGGCATAATTTTTTCAAGGACAAGGTTGTGCTTATTGATCAATATCAACCTCGAAGAAGATATACAATGGTCTGGGGTAACCAGACGATTGGTTAGTTTGGGTTAGTTTGGGTTGCTGACGTAGAGATCCCGCATTGGAAAGGCCCGAAATAAGGCATGGTCGGCTCTATCTATTGATGAATCGGAAGAGTACCATAAAAACCAACTACCAGATGATCAGCATAGTGAAGGTCATCTAACAAAATAAAGAGTAGTAGATAAATACTAAAGTGTCAAATTTCTACATGTACTTACAATCTGTCCTTAGATACACAAACGATCAAAATTACTTTCAGTTATAGTCCGTTGCATGATTCTTGAGCTACGACGACTGAATAGACAGAAAGAACAATGGGCTATTGCTGCGTTGTCATATCAATAATAATATTTATTATTACATAAAAATGAAGGAAATTTTATTGCAATTTTCATGTATTAATAAATATTATCGATATGACAACTGACAACGCAGCAATAGTCCATTGTCCCCTCTGTCTATTCAGTAGCCGTAGGTCAAGAACCATGCAACGGACTATACTTAGCACGCACAAACAAAGGAAAACCTGATACTAGGTACTTTATGACACTTACTGGACAATAGTCAATCGCAAACTTTTTAGATTTTTGCCCGAGGCAGAACAAAGATAAAAAAAACTTTTTGGTGGAGACTCACTCACTGCCAATTTTCTTGATTCTTAAAATCTTACTATCAAATCAACTGCTGGATGTTATCTGTCTTTTTCTGATTGTAACCTGCTTAAATAGTACTCAGTTCCCACTAAAAATCTGTTACGTGGGCGGTCATTTAGCATTTCTCGAACCAATCCTCTTATTTGACCTCGTTTATCGAGTGATAAACGACACTGTTGTTTTCCAAGAATTGTTTTTTTTTTTAAGTTTTTATTTAGGATATGATGCGGAAACACCGGTGTTGTAGTTTATCAGTTATGACGCAAGTTATGATCACATTCACATGAGTATAATGATTTCCGGTTAAACGCGTCCTAACTAAAAAAAATTATTGACTTTTTTTTTATCGGAATGTCGCAAGAGTCTATTAATTGGGGTCATCGAACTCTGACATCTGGTCGCTTATCGCTTGTGTTGGTAAAAAAATTGTTATGTAATTTGAGTTGAGCTTAGAAATTTCGTCATTTTAAAATTATACTATTTTTATACGGAATTAGATGCTGGATTGCTAGGAGATTTAATAAGTTGAGATTAAATTATCTTGCAACTGACGTAAGTACTTTTCTAATTAAAATGACTACAAAATGCTTTTACCAATTGAGTTTAGTTATATTTTCTGGGATTTCAGCACCTCAAAATTTTTGGGGTCGCCACAGGTTTATTGATGGTCGTTCGGAGTTGAACAAAAGGATTGAGGTAACAAATGACATAATTTAAATACCAATCTCAATCTGGAACATAAATTATTATAACAATAATTCCTATTCTGCATACTTCCATTTTTCATGTAATAATATTATTGGCAGCGGGTTATACTGACCACGAGTCAAGCAAGGGCATGGTCTAGTAGTCTTGAAATTTGACAAATTAGTTACGATTAGGTCTCCGATGACGTCATCAGTACTGATTTGAAAAGTGTTATCAGAATCATCGTTTTAGTTTTATATTTCTTGGAAATGTGTTTTTGTTACTCCTCAAATTTATTACATATTAGTTTCACAATTTTCTATAGCAACTTCGTTGTTACCTGTTACGTTATCATTTCTTCTACATAGGCAGTTGATCTATTAGAATTTTTCTTCATGCTCTAGGAAAAAAAAGGGGTACCTATGTATTTTACTTAGTTGGACAATAAACCCACTATTTTGCAGTTTGTAGCGTTTATTTAAATAACAGAAAATATAGCGAAAATATGAATAAATAGTATTTAATTTCCTATATTTTTTTTTGTATATTAGAGTATAAGATTACAAAGATGAAGATAAGCTTTTACCTACATATATTATGCTCATGTAGCAAAAATTTTACTAAAAAAATATTTGCCACATTTTTTATGCTAAAAGCAATAAGCCTACAAGCCTTACTTAATAAATAAACTACTTAATTATTCGATATAAGGATAGTTATATGAGCAAAAGTTATTCGATTAATATATAAGAGTAAAAAAGATTTTTTTTTGTATAAGGTACATTCGAAACTAAAACTGGCAAAAAGTTTTCCCAGTGCTTTTTGTCACTTCCAGTTTACCAAAAGCATTTGCTAAGCTAACAACATCAAATCACAGTTTAAGTTGGTAGTATCACAAAATTTTCCCAGTATCTTGGCTACCACCGAGCATAAACAAATGTGGTCGAAAATACATAAGTCGGCAGATAGAATATAATATGGAGGGTTGAAAGAAATTCGTTTCATCTATGATAGATTATTACATTTCTATTTTGTGCCTATAATAATGAAACTTGAACTAAGTATATTTTAATAATAAATATTTTGTGCTTAAAGTACCTAGTTTTTTAAGATAACTATATATTTGGTTTTGTGATGATTGGACAAAAATCATTAATAAATGGTCCCTAGCATCACTTTACTATCGAAGTAATAAGTTTAATCAATATTAACCTATTTCAGCAATAATAATTGTATTGCTTCAAATTTGATTAAATTAATTCCATTATAATAAATTACTTAATTATTTATTCCTTTTGGTTTACTGCTTTGTTCCTTGAATATCCACGGCGACGCTTTCTAACATGGGGGTCGCTGCTCCTTTGGATGGACTTTTGCTGATTTTTCCTGAAGCTGTGGAAATATTGCTATCTTTAGATCCGCGCCTTGAATCTAAAATTGAGATAGATACCATGCATAAAATTTAACATGCTTAGAGGAAGAAAGATTTTTGAAATGCGATTATTAAATATAGTGATTGTTTATTTCATGGCGAATTGTGTCCTGGAAGATAGATCTTTAGTTTAGCTCGTCGGTAATTGAGACATTTAAGAAACCATTGTATATTACTTACTGCGTGAATCTTTCGTTTGATTTAAAGCAATTATTAGTACAGTTATAACCTTTGAATAGCTGACATCCGCGGTTAATCCTAAAGTGTTCAGTATGTGGAGGTGTCTTGGAGGTGTCCGATATTTTTGGGCGTGAGGAAATAGTTTCGAAAAAAAAATTTCAGGCATCGACACTTCAATAGACATGAACGAACAGAGCATAAATAATTACAAGTAATGTCACACCCCTCGCGGGTAATATGAGTAGGACCAGAGGTTGGGGGTTGCTCTTCAGTAAAACACACAACTACAAAAGGCACTTATCGTATATTGCTTCCTAGTGAGTACATTACCAAATCGATACTACGCAGGTATGCCACATGAATCTTGCGTATGGGGCTATATGTATCTGTACGGGGGTGCAACTGTTCCTGCACGTATATAGCGGCGATGCCCTAAAAAAGATTGCTCCAACACTCCCTGGGGTAAGGTGACCCTGAGGAGGAGACGTGTAGCTACTGCTCCTTTGGGTAAAAAGGAGACCCTGAGGAGAGAGATGCGAACCAAAAGGGATTAATGCTACTTCCTGGGGTAAGGAGACCCTGAGAAGAGAAAGTCCTAAATGGATGCCGATACCATGGGTTGCATCGGTTTTTATATCCATTTCATGTGAACGTTAGTTTACGCGTTGACCTGCTTAAACTGCTGATTGTTGATAAACCGTGTTCTAGTTTTAATTAAGGCCGCGTTAATAGCCGCCATGCTTCAACTGTGATTGGTTGATTTTTCGAAACTTGTTTTAAGGTCATTAAAAAAACGGCACATCAGAATTGGCTCAAATTTGGCATAAACATTATTTGATCGATTATCTACAATTCCTTATTTTGGTTTTTCGATATTCAGCCTTTTTTTTTAAAGTCAAAAATCACGTTCGCAACTACCAAAACAATTAAATGTGTGTTGGTTGCATATTTGCATGTTTATCAAGCTAGACAGAGCCTACCTACCTTTAAATACATAGTAGAAAATCTGTAATAAAAAATGCACCATTTTTTCTTGTTTTTTTCATGATTAGTTTTTTTTCTCAGAAGGTTTGCGCCCTTAACAGTTGAATAAAGTAGAAAGTGTTGTGGGTTGAAGGCAAAAAAAATACATTCCTTGTAAATTTCAAAAAATGCCGACGTTTCGACTTTATTTAAAGTCTTTTTCAAGGCAATTTTTAATTTTTTTGAAGAGCCCCTAAACCCATAACACTTATATATATATATATATATATATATATATATATATATATATATATATATATATATATACTTATATACATGTATATATATACATGTATATACATGTCGTTTTAGAACGTCTTTCTTGGTTGTTCGACACCTAATTTCCATCCTCTTCTATCGACGCAATCCTCTGATGAGAGATTTCTTTCACTCATGGACTTATGGTCTTCTGCCATTCCAGTTTTGGTCTTTCTCGTTTCCTTCTACCTGTTGGTTGCCAGTGCAGAATTTTTCTGGGCCACTTGTCATTTGGCATTCGTTCTACGTGTCCGTACCAGGTAAGTTGTTTCTTTTCAATGTCCTGGACTATCGTACCTTCTATACCCATTTGTTGTTTTATATTGTCGTTCCTTATTCTGGTCCTTCGTGAGATTCGCATGAAATTTCTTCATACTAATGAGAATAGTTTGTGAATTTCTTATCAAAAACTTATTTGAGGAAGAGACTTAAACTGTATCGATCACTATAGGAATAGGGTAGTGGACAATTTTTTGAAATATTTTTTTTATAAATCTCCATAACAAAATAAATAGTAGTTGATGATTTTTTGATTTCAGAAAACCAAAATAAACCTAAAAAAAAATTAACAAATTCTTACCTATTTTAAACGCTATAATTTACCGCCCGGAAATTACGTCATAGCTGTTGTTTCTAATATAATAAGAGTGGCGAGAGCGCGGTCTGCGCGTCCTTATATTTTATATGCTTTAAGAAAAAGATGCAGATAGACCGCTCTGATTGACAAATGGAAATCTCTCAAAAAGTGGGGTTATGTTGAGGGTGCGCCTAGATGTAATGATACCCGACAGACGCTGATATCTCTCTCTTTTGCACTAATGAGTAAGTGTGTGTCGAATATAGGACAAAGGTTTGATTCATTTCATACTCAAATACAGCAGCTATGACGTTAAATCAAGGCGCGAAATATTTCTGTTTGAATAGTGTGTCCCAAAACTCTAGTTTCATAGCCGTTTCAAACAAAGTTGGAATTTTGTTCTGAAATTTCTTTTGTACGAATATTTTTTATTTACTTCATAGATAAAGAATGGGCCATCGATTTCATCAAAATTATACCTTGTCCACTACCCTATTGTAATGTAAATTGTGGTACGCAAGATTTTATATTTGTTTAGTTGGAGATCTATTGTAAGGACCCGGGAAAAATAGACCCGTAATTTACAACGAATTAAAATACTTACAAAAACAGTAAATTTAAATGTAATCAAATAATGGAAATTGAATAAAATAATCTAATGTAAATTAAATCTCCAATATTCAATATTAGAAGAAAAGTTCTAATTTTCTTAATTAAGCATCAACACAAATTAATTGAAATATCTAAAACACGTTCAAATTTTAATAGGTAGTTAGTCACCAAGCGTGTGTCATCACATTGAACCCATAAAAATATTAAAATCAAGGCAAAAGTAATAATTAAATTGAATCCCAAAGTGACAGATTTTTAATGAAGACATTATTTACGGTCGACACGAGTTTGGCATCCTTTGATTTGTGTGCCCTCACATTCTTATACCAAATCTGTTGACCCCGATAATCCAGGAAATTGCGACATAGGTATTCGGTTTTAAACAAATAATTGTATTTCCCAGAAAAGACGAACGGTTAATGAATGGATATGACCCGAAATTTTGGGGGGATCGAAAAATATTGAAACAGCGGTTCTAGAAGTTTACAGTCAGCCTTCAGTTCAGTTCAGCTTAGAGCCTTGAGTCTTCAGTCTACAGTAATCAAGCAGTCGCGATGAATTAGTCCAGAGTCGAAATCAAGTCCGGATAAAATTCGCGAAGAGTTTTTTTTGTTTTGTTGCCTCGGGACAACGCGCTAAATTTAACTTTGAAAAAGTAACGGAAAATCGTGACAGAAAGAACATTTAAATTCGTTCAATATTATGTGCGAGCTCTAAATAATGAAAAGAATTATTCTAGAGTAATTTAGTGATTTAAGGACAGAATGTAAGTACTCTAGTGACTAATGAAAACTGAAATAATGGTTATAGTTAAATATTTTGGACTCTGATTAAAAGAATTTAAATTAAATGCGTAATGTAATTTGAAATAGTATTGTTATGTCTGAGTTTGGAACGAAAATATTCATTTAACATGTTTAATGGTTGGAAATAATATACACTCTGGCTAAGTTTACGATTTTTTAGTAAAATTTTCGTACAAATTTGGCAGTAAGCGAATTCAGGGTTTTTATACGCTTATAGAATTGGAAGTTTTAATAGGTAATTGTAATGATTATTGTTTTGAGTAAAGTAATTTTGGTTAAAAATATTGCAACAGAAGTTAGATATTGGAGTAGGGCTCTATACAAGAGTTATTTAAGTTTTCCAATTGTTGGGAATAGTACAAGGCTTTTGATTGTGACATTTTATTACAGCTCAGAGATAGTATAGAGGTGTGTAAAGTGAGCATCATTTTAGAATTGTTTTTTTGTATTAGAAAGGAGTTGGTTAAGGTATAATTTCAAAGATCCATGGTAATTTGGAAAAAGCTCTGTCTATTTTATCGAATAATAGTTATTTTTTATACAAGACGATAGAATGGTAGTTTATCGTTGACCGGAAAAGTTAATTCACGAGCGGAATTGCGAGTGAATTAATTCCGGGAGTAAATTCAATTGATAGAATTTTTTCCCTTGCATGATAACATTTTTTAAATTTTTTTCCAATTACCGACGATCACAACAAAAAAAAATACATCCATGTGATCATTCCGTGGATCCAAGTGTAAAAAAAATTGAAAATTCTATTTTTATAAGAACTTACTTACCTATGTAATAAATAAAAGTTATAGCTTTGATAAGAAATAAGAATTATTGCAACATGCAACTGTCATGCAATAGGTAGATAATAATAGTGAAAGACACATGTAGTAGAGAGCAGAAATGAATAAATGTATGATTGGAGAGTGGAGCCATGGTAGTAAGTATTGGGGAGTCTAGGAAAGTTTAAACTCATACAGCTGTAGCTGCCTGCCATTTTGTAATTAAGTGTAGGTAGTACATACCTAATTCGATCTCTATTCTAATGATTTTCGAATTTGACTACAAATTGACGTGTCTCGCAGGAATAGAAAAAGAGAGCTCAATTGTAATAAATACAAGTTGGAAAGTAATAAAAGACGACATGCGCGCGCAACTCGTGGCTGCAGTGTAGCCAGATTGTATTGTTGCAGAACAAATTTAAACAATACAATTCGAACATTATAACAATGTAGAAGTGAAATAGTGTCAAGTGTTTTACAAAGCCTTAACAGATAAAAGAAAAGATTTGAAGTGTATGTTAACATCGTTGGTACTTTTATTTTGATAAATGTTTCATTCGGCAAAATCGCACGATGAAATTGCAAAGGAATATGTCAAGTATAATCTAACATACCCTTTAACGACACTGCGGTGAGTTCAAGCAATACATAAAGTATTAGTTTGCTCTTTGTCGAATTACACATTACAAAGAAAGAAGGAACGATTAATTCTGAACTCGTCCCTAAATACGAATATGACGCAAACCTGTGACAAACTCGATTTTCATTGGACGCTCACCTGCAACCCACGAGTTGCGCGCGCACACCAGGTATTACGGGACACGTCAATTCTCTAGTAGGGAAAAAACTAGGTACGTCGCTCATCTGGCAGTAATGCGACTTGATTTGCCGGTCGGTGGATCAAAAACTTCTCTCGGAATAGAGATATATTTTTTTTTGTCTACACCTTTTCTGATAGTATTTTAGAAAAACTTGTCAATTGTATTTTAGAAAAGTCATTTGTATTTAAGGCCGCGTTAATGGCCGCCATGTTTAAATTTAGTTTTTGAAAATGACGGCTGCGTCACTCTACACATAGGGTTCAATATTTTATTTTTAACCATATATGAAATGTTGTCATTACTGACTTTTCAAAAATTTGAAAATGTCACATTACTGTCTTTTCATTTTCCTGCTCCATTACCTGTCCCAGGACGGTAAGTGAGGACGGGAAATTTTTTCCGTCCTCATTTCCCGTCCACGGACGAAAAATGGAGCAGGGAAATATTTCTCGTTCTCATTTTCCTCTTCATTTGCCGACCTCATTTGGTTGCTCCGAATTTTTTTTTTTCAAGAAATTATGGTTAAAAATAAAATAGTATACAACCCTCGACGGGAAACTTCATTGCTGTCTCGAGGTTCAGTTTATCTCGACGCTATACGCGTCTCGATAAACTATAAAACCTCTCGACCAGTAAGGAAGCATTTCCCGTCTCGGATTGTAATATACTATTATTATTTGTCCAAAACAAAATCTGTTTGTCGGTGAAACACTTAGTGACTGAGAAAGACAAATATACAATTATGATGCTCCCAATATAGCTTTTTTGCCGTGGCGCCATCTACTTGAAATTGCTTGAACTTTTTTCACCTTCAAAATTCGTTTTAAAGTCATCTCAAAAAATCCGCAATAATTTCCAAAATCCTTTGGCATAAACATTATTTCATATATTATCTACAATCTCTACAATTAGCTTTTTTTTAGTTTTTCGTGGTTATCAATAAAATATGCTTTTCACGGATCCAAACTTGATAAACATTCAAATATGCAACCACCAACACATTTAATTGTTCTGGTGGTTGCGAACATGATTTGTGAATTAAAAAAAAGGTTGAATATGGAAAAACCAAAATAAGGAATTGTAGATAATCGATCAAATAATGTTTATGCCAAATTTGAGCCAATTCTGATGTGCCGTTTTTTTAAAGACCTTAAAACAAGTTTCGAAAAATCAACCAATCGCAGTTTAAACATGGCGGTCATTAACGCGGCCTTAAGAAATTCACAATTAATTAAGTAGTAATGGAATAAATTTCTCAAATACAAATGACTATTCTAATAGGTACAATGTACAATTGAAGGTTTCTCAAATACTGATGGAAAAGGTGTAGAAGTTTCATCATAATCAGATTTACGATTCAAGAAAAAAATTAAGATAATATGTTAATTCTCTTCAGTTTACTATAGTTGTTCAGAAAGATATATTGATTTATCCCAATTTAAAGCAGGCGGCTATAAGAGCAATGTTGAAACTTCCCCTACCAAGCTTTCAATTTCCAGTACATCTTTCTTTTAGTATAAAGAACTTGCCTGAAATTGGTGAATTTGGTTGAAGTGACGTCACACTTTCTGGTCTGCTTGGTGCGTGGCTTGTTTTAGAACCGCGCCTGTCATGGTGCGGTATCTTAGTTTCCCTTAGCAAAGATGCGTTCATCAATCTGGGGTTCGGCGTGTTGAATATTGTTCGGGTTTCTCTCCATCTTGCCCTATAAAAAATATAAAATTATACTAAATGGGAAGTGTATGACGAGAAACTCATACTCACTTGCTGAACAAACGCAAGACGATACAGATGGTTATGAACATAAGAAACATGGCAACTAAAATACCTATCATAGCCGGATCGATGTATCGTTGAGATATCACTGTGTTTGCGACAGCTGAAATAGTTAAATTAGTAAATCATGATGATTTGATTCTCATTAGAGAATCTTTCTGTTACAAGGAAGATAACACAGGCTTATGCTCAATTTGAAAAATTAGGAAACTTATAAATCATCCGAAATTCCACAAAATAAAACATCTCCCTTCTACAACCCAGTGGCGGCTGGTGAGAGGAAAAGTTGGCGGTGCACACACTCAGGGGGGAAGCCCCAGAGGCACGCAATTTTTTTTGGACTGACCCAAACTAACCCAAATTTTGATCTAAAAGTTGTAACAAAACACGCCTCAGAAAGTTTTTTCACTTATTCTCAATTCAAACGTGGGCATTTACCATTTCTACAAAATAATAAATGAAGCACAGGCGGAGTACGAGAAATTTATTAAAACAGTTTTATATAAAATAAAACATAAGGCACCATACAAATCAAATAGGAATCAAATTTATAAAAAATATCTACTGCACTGTCTTTCCAGACGAAACTGATTTCTTTGCGGCAGGCGCTTCAAAGAAATATGCCGCCCTATGGCGCCAGGGACGCCGCTAAAAAATCTAACGAATAAGATATTCCTGGACTCAACGTTGACAGTCTATCGATAGTCAAATCAAATGAGACAGAAAAAAAAATTAAATTCCTTCCAGTAAATTGATCCAGATTTATTCATACCTTATCCAGATTTGTACAGACTGACCCGGATTCTGGAAAATGATCCCCAGGTCTTTTGAGACCTTTTCCAGAATTTTTCCGACCCTTTCAAGAAATTTCCAGGCCTTTTCCAGACGTATCCAGAGATTTCCAGACATTATCAAGACTTATCCAGAGCTTTCCAAAGTTTTCCAGACTTCATCCAGATTAATCCAGACTTTATCCAGACTTGTTCAGACTGATCCGGATTCTGGAAAATGATCCCCAGGTCTTTTGGGACCTTTTTCAGAATTTTTCCAACCCTTTCCAAAAATTTCCAAATCTTTTCCAGACGTTTCCAGAGATTTCCAGACTTTTCCAGACTTCATCCAGATTTATCCAGACTTGTTCCAGCTCTCTTGGCTCGTTCCAGGTTCTTGTTGTGTGTTAATATAAGCGTGGTAAGAAAGTGTCTCTTTTTCGTTTCATCGAGTCTCAAATCACTCCCAACGATTCTAAAGAAGTTTTCACTTCAAAAATATCTACTGTACTGTCTTTCCAGACCAAACTGACTTCTGTGCGGTGCGGCAAGCGGCAAGCGCTTCAAAGAAATATGCCGACGCGACGCCGCTCTCACTCACAAATTAAATTGCCGCAAAAACTAATCCGGGCCGTTCGATCAGGTGGCCCCGTTTATACGTATAAAAACAGCTGGTTACTGGGAGCGCGGCGTGACCTTCTCCAACGTAATTGCCGTGTTGCAGCGGGGCCGTTGTGAGATGGGCTCGGACGGATAGTCCAGCGAGTTTAGTTTAGTCAGTCGCTTAAATTATTGTCTAGGAAATTTAGGAATAATAACGACACAAATTTTTCCGTCGGGTTCAAATTATAAAATGATAAGTAATTTGATCTGACGATTGTAATAACTATTGAACTAAAAAAAAAATATATTTTGAAAGGACCGACATATTTTGCGCCAGTGCCACGGCCCCTTGGCCCCTTAAAGCCAGCCGCCACTGCTACAACCACTATACCTTTCAGTCCTTAGAACCATATCTACGAAAGAATATTCCCTAAATCATCGTTCTTTTTTATAGTCGTAATCAGCTTCATTATCCCAACTGTCCACGTGATCTTTATGCCTATCAAATAAATGCCCTCCAGGATGCCCTCCTGTCTATCCAAGTCTATCTTCATGCCTGTGTGGTTCTTCTTTCATACACTGACGTTATGATAACTAAAATAATGTGCCTTGAACTGACATGCTGCTATATCATGGCATAGAAATCTGTAGAGCTCCTGTTTGATGGATAATATTCACCTTCTGACTCATCAGAGTATCCCACCAACCTTCTTTTTCTCGCTTTATTTTTTACATCGCTCGCCGGATATTTCTTTTCTCTAGTTTGTTGGTGAAAATGTTGCCGGTTTCCTAGGTTCAAAAATGGTTTAATGTCACTATCTTCTAATTGCTATTTGGAACTCCATTCTTGTTCTGTTCCATATCGCAGGCTTCTAACAGGAACTCTTTCACTCTGATCAATTCTGAAGCAGGGCTTGTATTGAAGTGGCCATGGTCGCCTCAATAAGGTACACGCGTTGTTATGCGGTTCATCGAAACAAGGCTTGATTTGAAGCTCGTACTGCTTCAGCTCCTCTTAATGAGATAGCGGATATCGGTTTCATATTCTTGTGAATTTTCCACTGCCTTCTCCTAGCTCTACCCGGTAAAGCTACCGCCGGTGATAATCCTTATAGCGCACTCTAGTGGATCAAGAATCGCACCATAGTTTTGTTGGCAAGCTGGCAAAATAAGCTCTAATAGGTTCAAGGTGCAATCAAGCCTGGTCCCATATTTTTTAAAAATATCGTATAGGAAATGTGATATAATTTCATTCTGTTTTCGCGATCCCTCATCTTGTCTCTAAATTTCTCCGGTCTTCCTAGTCTTGCCTTCATTGGAGGCCATCAGGTCGTTCAGGTACAATAGTTGGTTTAATCTCACCACCTCTGCAATATTGTTCTAAATCCATATCCAGTCAAAATAAAGCAGTGTGATAGATAGTTCATTGACAAAAAGAACCATAGTGGGTTAAGAGGCTTTTTCAAAGGGATTCCTAAGAGTTCCCTTTCCGCTAGGGAGAATGCCAGTCTTTATCTTCTCACCCTTGTGAACTACTCATGTGTTAATGAATCAAATACCTCCTTATAGAAGATATTTCGTTGGTTGGAATATGCTTGATTACAAATGACGGAGTCCATGATAAACTGTTTATTGCATCCCATTACGCCTGTCGTTAATATTTTCTATTATACTGCGATTATGTTGTTTTGTTCACAGAGCTGATAGGCTGAGCCTTAGGTGACGTGATTGCTTTGTAAAGACAAGTGGTTGACCCATATTTGTGTTCTGCAGGTCCTTTGGAATTGATGAAGCCTTTGCTTATATCCAAGACTGTGACATATTTTTTGGATCTAGTAGGTATCACGTCAGGCTCATCAGGATATCCGGTTAGTACTATTATTATATTCCCAAATTATATTCTCAGCTTTGAGGATATTGGTCTGTTACCTGTAGGTCCTGGTTATCTCTACATAATTCGGCGTGCAATTGTCTGTACACAACAAAGATTACAGGAACATTCACCACTATGGAGTTGCTTATATTTTGCACCAGATAACGGTAGCAACAGTTATTAGAGAATAAATTGGAAGATAAACGGGCAATATCGTAAACGAAATTGAGGAAAATTGCTTTTCGCTATCGCAAAGTCGTTAATGCAGCAGCAATGTAAAATAACGACGTCAATAATAGATCTGAATCATTCTGTGGGGATTTTATTCAAGGAACATTTTTTATTAAACATATATTCAAATATTTCTTACGAATGCAATCAATCGATCCGTCCTCCTTTAAAATGGCGAGTCGTTGAAAGCGGCATACACAAACCCCATCTTTGCACTCAGTCATGTAGTATTCTTTTTCGCATTGTTCGTTGAAAAAGCACGTTTCGTTAACTTTTGCAGCTAAAAATTTTCAAAAAAAAAATAATTTTTCAGTTGAAATTTGAAGTATCTGAACAAACCTATTCCACATTTATCCAGATGGTTAGTAACAGGTAGTTCCGGTCTACAATAGCACTTGTTCGTCATTTCATCACACACCGCTCCTTCAAAACCACATTCTGATGTTGAACCGCATCTGTCCCCAAACTTTTTTTTGTCATCCTCTGCAATAAAAAAGAAATAAAAACTGATTATTTATGATGGAAGTTAAAAGTTTTCAATTGTAGAAAGAACTTTGCAACTCCAGCAATACGGAGGAAAGTGGAAGTGAACGAGTTAGGTAGGTAACTGGCTGCTACGCGTGCACTGAAAAGAAAACTTTTGAGCCAGGAAGTATAAGTAAAAAAGAAAAAAGAAAAATATATTGTGTACTCAGGAGGAAGAGTAACCCATTCTAGACCGACAATGTAAATTGCACTGAGCCCAAGAATGGGCTTTTCGATAATAATAATTAATGTATGTTATGTATTATATACCTACTTATTGCAATATACAAATGAGCTTACTAAGCGTATATCAAATTGCTACCAATTTCGTCAGCGAAACTACCGAGTTATATGAGAAATTAATGGATATCAAATTCAATCGTGGAACAATCAATCTATTTATAGATTAATGATATCACCAGCGTACGTTTACAATGTGGTACTCCATTATCCACTCCACTCATTATAACAGTGGCGAGACAAAACGAAACTCGGATGTAGATAATCGTATACTATCTAATAGCTGAATTCGCCCTGATTCAGGCAACATCAGTGCCATCAAGGACTCAAGATGGTTTTTTCAACACTCTAGGTAGGTATCACATATTATTACGTAGCTGTCAACTACAACTCGCAGTTATTTTTTTAACCATCTGACGACGTTGTTCATTACCTTAATCCACACCAGAATTATTTCATATGCTCTCCAGCCTCGTAAGGAACTTGGAAATTATTTTTTTTTTCGACTAAGTATTTTACACACTGGCAAAATGTAAAAGTGTGCCTCATGTATTGTATAGCGGCATCCGAAAATATTCTGCTCTATAAGCAAATATCAAAGAAGCCTGGGAGCAGTTGTCCCAGTTTTTAAAAGTGCGAAATTATGAGATCGAGAAATCTACTTCCCTGATAGAGCTGCCAAAAATACTTGTCTTGTGATTACCATTTTATTCAAGTTTGAATTTCGAATCCCCTAGCGGTAAGTTCTTTTTATTTTTTTAAAAGTAATGGTTCTTCATGGAGTGCCTCTATTACTTAGGGTCTTTCGAGGAGCCCGTTTCTTTCGAGAAGCCAGTTTCTTTCCAGGAGCCTGTTTCTTTCGAGGGCGCGTTTCCAACAAGCCCGCATTTTCGTGAATCCACAATTTTTCATGGAAATCATTTGGCTGGAGCATGGGCATGGAGCTTTTGAAGGGATTTCCTAGAGAAATCAATTCCCTCGCGTGTCAACACCTGCCCCTCAACATTTGACGAAACCTGTGAACTTCTATAGCCTCCATCTACCTGGATTCAAGGCTAGAATCTGCAATTTCCATCTGCAACTTCCATTGTCAAGTGACAGAAAATGGACACTAGCTACCCGTACTTCAACGTTTTCGGTGGAATTGAGGCTTGTATAGAATTTCATTGATAACTTTCACCTTTTATTTTATGAAATTATTGATTTATCTTTAACTAATTTTTGGTACCGCCATGTTTAAAGAATGTATATTTTATTAATCATAATCATTAATCTGAACTGATGTCAAGGTTAAACAATATGTTCCAAATTTAAATCTATTCAGTATAAGTACCTACATCGTCAAAAATTGATCAATTTATCACCTGGGTTCACAACTTATATACTTGAGGATTTCTGATATATCTCCTGTGAATACCTTCAACGTTTAACCTTTGATTTCATACAGTTTTAATTTGATTTTACCGACTTTATTTTTCTGGCAGAAGCTGACCATATTTATCCATAGGTACAACATTACAGCTTTTATTCATTCCTTGTTTTTTAAATTAATTCTCTGGAAACTTAAATCTTTGATATTTTCATTTCAAGTTGAGCCAGCAACTTTTAAGTTGAATTATGTGTCAACTATACTAGTGTATATTGTGATATTATTTTTTTAGTTTGGTGGATCTAATTGAGGGTTAAACCTCTATCCATTGATTTATTATTCACCTACTGGACTGATTTCTTTATTCTCCGAACTGTGAATTGAATTTGATATCACCGTGGAAATATACACTAATTTGAAAATTTCTTGAGTTTTTTATAGATTTTACCTATGTCAAGACCTGGTTGAATTGTATGCCTTATTTATTTCCTTTTCAGAATTATCAATTACCTTTTGCTAATTTTTTTTTTGTTGATGTGTTTCTGAATTAAGGTGGACATCAACAGATGCTACGGAAAAATCTGAAGATTGCTGATTTTCGCTTGTGATGGAATGTCAAAAGTTCGATGCTTAAAGCCGTGAAATCATACATTTCTGCTGCAAACCAAAAAAGCTCCAGGCTATGACAGCATCAGCAGTTGAGGGCTCAAACACCTCCAAGAAAACACCCTGAAAATCATCACCAACATTATAAATGGATGCTTACTTTCCAAAAATTTAATCGTAGACTAACCAATGAACAATGAGAAATTGAATGTATAAAGACAGGAACGTGTCTATTCACACTCAAAGGAAAAAATTTACCCAGATCCGTGACGACTAGAGGTAACAGATAATACAAGTCCCTAGATATTATAATATACTCAGACAGAAGCTAATGATATGGTACTAAAGACAAATGACTTCCCAACATTAAAAAATTGAAATAAAGAATCACAAATCCCAGGTTTTACGAAAATCAGCCTAAATAGACTAGAGGTGGAACAACCTGCGATTTTAATGCAGCTGTGACAAGACGTGACTGCTCCAGTCGTGTCACTGTGACAAATAGCAGTGATTTTTTTTGGAGCAGTTTTACCTTAGTTGGCGGCCGAACTGCTAATATTATGTTAATGCTACATTTCAAAATGGCATAATCGCAACCCGCAGTCACGGCCGAGGGAGATGTTCGAGTATTCAGCTTGCCCTCTGCAGTAGCAGTTACTATTTGGCTGGACTACGATGCGATTTATAATATTATAATATTGCATTTGCATCACTTAGCTCGAGTTTTGTCTGCGCTGCATCGGTCGGAGCTTGAAGCGGGCAGTGACAAAATGTCACTGCTACTTGACTGGGACTGGAGCAGGCCGTGACTGTAACAGACGAGTAGCAGTGACAAAGTCACAGTTCCTGGAATCGCAACCCACCTCTAAAATAGAAAAAAGACAGATATTCCAAGATAGGCGGAAAAGACAAAACAATAGCAACAAACTGTCTGTTTTAAAGAAAAGAAGAATTTTATCTCCACCAGTAAAACATATAAACGTGGATGAAATAAACAATTGTCTTTTTCCCCAAGCAACGAGGACACCAGCCACATCATTAAGTTTCTCACAAGAACTACCAGACACACAGGAATACCACGAAGACTCATCTTGGAAACCATCAAGGGATGACGATATCAGGAAGGGATTAATAGCAAAGATTAACAATATGTCATTCACAGATTTGAACTTAACAAATAACTAGGTACATAAAAGATTTAACTGAAGATATCCATTGGGGAAATCCAATGGAGGAGGATGAATAGTGGAAACCAGAAAAACACAAAAAATCAAAAACCCCATGAATAAACACCAGATAGAATAATGAAAATTCTTCAATGGAATATAAGCTCAATCAATCCAAACATAGACAACTTGAAAATTTTAATACAAGAACAAAAAGCTTTGAATGAAACATGGCTGAAAAAAGATTGCAATTTAAGGATTGGACAATACAAAATTTTTGTAGACAAGATAGATAGACAAGATGGTAAGGGAGGTATTGCATGTTTGATAAAGGATCCCATAGAATATAAGGAGTATGATCTGTCAAATTATGATTTTCCAGGAAACCTTCAAGTGCACGCAATAAAAATCATGAAGCCAAACCTTTCAATCCTCAATTTCTGTGTCCCACCATCAACAGAAATCAGTGACAACTGGATAAAGAATCTTATTGAAAATATACCTGAACCAAAATTAATACTAGGAAATTTCAACGGCCAACACCCTCTATGGGGAAGTTCAGTGGCAAACTATAATGGAAACGTCATAAATAATATTCTAAATTAAATTTCTCTAGTTTTATTAAATGATGAATCCCCAATTAGACTGACAATACCGGGCCAAAACAAATCAGCTCCAAATATTTCTCTGGTATCCAGCTCTATGGCCACGGTAATGGAATGGAAAATTTTAGAAGACTGTGGAAACAGTGACCATTATGCAATATTAATTTCCTTGAGACATACCGAGATTGAGTCAATACAAAGAAGCAAACCTGGAAGAAGTACAAAATAGGCAAATTGGGAAAGATATCATGATGAACTGCTAGCTAGCTTTCTGATTCTGATCTGGAAGAAGATATACTAGAAGTTGCTGGAAAAACAATACCGGAAAAAAAATCTGAACAAAGAAAGCATAAAGATCTGGTCCCATGGTGGGATGAAGAATGTCAGGAGTATTTAAATAAAAGGAAAACTGCTATGAATAAACTCAAATATGAATATTCAATGAAATATTTTATCCAAGTAAAGAGGGTCAGTGCTCAGACAAAAACGAAATTCAAAGAAAAGAAAAAGAACAGCTTCAAGGAATATTGTGGAAATATAAATAGAAATGCATCATTACAGAAAATTTGGACAACAATAAGAATATTCTCAGAAGGGAAAATCAAGAAATAAAGCTCCACAGCGGGAAATAGCAATAGAGATAATTAAAAACCTGAACCAGGTGAACCTAGACCCAGATTTCACAATGGACAGAAGTCATGAAAATTTCCAATTGGAAGAGGAAGAAGAAATAAGTCTGGCTGAACTGGAAAATGTTTTGCAAGGGAAAAAAGATTCGGCTCCTGGACTGGACAACATAACATACTCCATGATCCAATATTTAGGTACCAACTTTAGGAAAACAAAATCTACCTAGAATATTTAATAATATCCTCAAAGAGAATAAGATACCAATGCAATGGAAGAAAATATACATTTTCCCATTGTTGCAGGACAGCAAAGACAGTGCAGTTGTAAAAAACTTCAGACCCT